AGAAGAAATTTAACCACGCGTAGCTCGCCAGGCTCTGACGTGGCACCCTCCGCATTGGTACGTTTTTGGAACAGTCCAAAACCGTTCACCCCCACGCCACGATGAGGCTGCGGATAGGATTTGTGGGGATTGCGGTACTCTACTATATATAATCCGCTATGTCCGTGTGCGTGTGTGCGTCTGTCTGTTTGTAACGAAATTCATAGGGACTAGTGGTTCTGAGAACTTGATTCCGAGAAGCGATATAGGGTGTGACGGGAACATTGTTGGGTGACAAAAAGAGAGAAAAAGTTTGACAAGAGGCGTCAGAATGGGAGGTTCAACAAGACCATAGCGCGGCTTTCAGCTTCTAGATGTTGATCTCAGATATGATATAGGTATGGGACACGAACATTATTGGTGGGTACAAAATAAGATGCTGATAAGATTTGTTTAGGGGCGTTAGAAAGGGATGGCTTCCATATTCATAACACGGGTGACAGCATTAGCATGTGTTCAGCAAGTGTTATAGAAGGTGATATGGGAGCATCAGCGGTGGGTGACCAGAAGCGGTAACTACTGATAGGGGCTGATAAGGGGCGTTGCGTTGTCGTTGCTGATCGAGGTGGAGAGAGCTTCTGAAGTTCCTCACCACTACAGTGCCATGTAATAAAGGTCACTGTGTGAACTGCTTACTTGGATGCATTCAATGATGTCGGGGAGGGGGGAGGTATATTGGCATCCGAAACGGAAAGAGTTTGCGGAAGTCTGCCGTTTGTGTAGTGTGTTAGGAGATGGAATTCACAACCGAGTCAAAAGTACCAAAAGAAGGGGAGCCAGTATTTCAGAGTCAGGATGTCCTGTCGCCAGTAAAATGCAGTTTCCCAGTGCGACGGCCACTTTGACATGAACGAAGCAATGTGAATGTTCTCCTTTTCAGTGTCGCCCATGACACCACAGTTGCTCCTCTTTCAGGGGGAACAAGGGCTGTATATTATACCGTTCACTCAGATTAATGCAACTTTGACCCATTCTTATGTCGCAATTCATTTTCTTAACCTTTTCAATTTTCCTTAGAATTGTTTTTCTACATTTAGTGAAAAAAAATGCCATGTGACCATTTGGCCCATTTTGCGCATTCTACTTCGCCTGGCGGAGCCAGGTCGGTCTGGCGAAGATCGGGCCGTGACATAAGAAGAGCTCCCGGCGACGGCTGGGCGATCCAACTGGTCATACATAAGTCATTAAGAACACATGTGCTGATGTATATTTATTCATATAGGCACAAGTGAATGAAGGGGATGAAGGAGCAGCCGAGGAAACAGATGACTGCCTCTCCTTCCAGTTACAATCGTCCGTCCTTGGATGTTGTCATGACATCGTAGAAGTTGGTGCCGCAGCATGTGACACCCAGCGCTGCAGCCAGCAATTCCACAAGGACACGACATCTCCATTGGCTGGAGGCCAAGACAGTATCGCGAATATTGCTCCCGGAGAGCTATGTGCTCCTGAAAAAAAACCTTAGTGCCTCCTTCATTTTTTCCCCGTAAACATCAAAGGATCCAAACAAGTTCAACCTTACCTTCAGCGTACTGTCATATTTTTCCTGTGAGTTTTTCAAATCCTCCATCATGGCCGCACACTCTTCTCTCATTTCTTTGTCATGGGCCCATTGCTTCATGACGAGCTCGATGCATTCTCTTTCCATGTCCCTGGCCATTGAATTGATCACCGACGCCAATAGTTGCGCGCCTTGGCACATAGTGCATGAGGACTAGAAATAGTAATAGGAATGCAAAAAAATAGTACTGTCCTCCCACCACCTCTTCACTGAGAAAATATAAAAGCAACGAAATATACCCCACCACGATGACAAGGAGTCATCGTTACGCACCTTTTCATCCAAATCGGATGGGCCGCCTTCGGTTGATTCCAAAGGATTTTGAGACTCTGGAGCGAGTTCGTGCATGGTCCTCGCGTTGGCCGATGATGAGTTCATTTCTGATGAAAATCCTGAACACATTACTCATTAGATTAGCCTCATTTCATAATAAGGGAGTGGTCAAAGCAGTAGCATGTAAGCAGTCTGGGAAGGAGACATGATTGAAGACTACCCTGGACGGGTGAAGACACAACGAATGAAGCACTGCAAAAGGTTACTGTGACAGAAACCAGAGGGAGGCGGGGTTTTTTCGGTCATAAATCACCTTCCTCTGTATTACGTAAGCAAAGCGCGACACAAGAGCAGATTTTTGAGCGCAGTAACATTGCAACAGTACCCGCAAAACCAAGCCGACACGGTAAAAAAGTTTCCTATGGTTTGATGCTATCAAGGAAAGGAGTAGCTCTCACAACCAGAAGTCTACAAACAATTTTTGGAAGCTCAAGGTTACAATCAAATACAAAATTGTGATGCAAACTTGAGTCCCTGGCTCATCCTTTCACACAGTAATCCAATTAAACCTGAGTCACCACACACCGGGAAAGCTCACGGATACCATTTAAACAATGTCAAAAGGCTGTTTTGTTATGATAACTGCTGTTTAACGCCGCAGTACGCGTTCCGAATGTTATCACAAGAATGCTGAGTTGTGGGCAAAAGTCGTGCCCCAGGCGGGAGTCGAACCCGCACCTCACGCTTTCCGGGCGAGTGCGCTATCCGTTACGCCACCAGGGCCGCTTTTACCCTCTCAGCTTAACGGCTTATGCCGTAGCCTTACAGCACTCACACGTTTAACTTGGTGAGCCGGTCAGCCGTAATCGTTAGATATCGGCAATGAACCGCGAGGCCGAAGGCTTTACAGTCTAGCTTTACAAGTAACGGATAGCGCACTCGCCCGGAAAGCGTGAGGTGCGGGTTCGACTCCCGCCTGGGGCACGACTTTTGCCCATAACTCAGCATTCTTGTGATAATGTCAAAAAGGTTTACCAGATTGAGACTCTTGCAATCGAGTATTTAATATGAGCAGCATTTGCCTGCATGGCGCATCTATCGAGGATGAGAACATTCTTCTTTTTGTCGACTGATTCGAGTTCTCTAGGTGAGTTCAGCAATTTCAAGGGACGCTACCAGATTTACAGCGAGAAATTGATGAATAAACTTTATTTGAAAATTATTTTCGAGTTTT